GGGCCTGGAAATGGATGTCACAGATCATTTGTTGATCATCTGTTCTGTTCATTTCCTCTGGGGGACCTGGCCTTGGCCACTATCAGTAGACAGGACACAGGACTGGATGGATGTTTGGTCTGACCCAGTGTGGCCAATCTTATGTTCTTATGTTTCTTCTTATGTTCCGTCTCCTAAAAGGGAGCTAATGCAGCCACCAGCCACAATGTGGTGGCCGAGGATGAGACCGGTTAGTTCTGTGGCACAGGGTGAGGGAGTGCTGCAGAGAGATACAGAGACATGGAGAACTGAGACAAATCCCTGGTGTTCCGTACGGTGCCTGATTCCAGTCTGGATGTGTCGAGGCAGGATGCTCCTCTGTGCTGATGTGTTGGGGTTTCACTCGGCACATTGCAGGCATCAGTAAGGGGCACTGCTCTGGGTTATCAGCCTTTGGACATTGCAGGCAAAACCTTGGTCCCTTGACCCAATGGGTGTTTGCCATTCACTGTATTGGAACCAGGATTAGACTCTTTATGGAGCCTCCCTGTAGCACCTGGATTCAGTTCAAATCCCAAAGAGAGCTCTCCAATGCCCCGTTTCCAAGTGTGTGATGTGGAAGTGCAGGGACCCTGTCCCTTAAATGCCAGTTCTCCAGTGTAAACCCAGAGATTCAGAGCTCCAGCTGCTGGGTCCTGGAGACCAGACAATTCCCACACATAAGCCAGAACAGACTCTGGGCCTGAGAGCAGCCCCATTAGGAAAGGCCGAGTCTGCAAAATGATCAAGTTACCTGAGACACATAAGTAACATTGAAACACCTGAGATGTAAAGACCCCACCACTGTCACTGCGCAATCCTGCTATACACAAAACTGACAAGTAGGGGTGGTGGATAAAATGCTGGCTTGGGGAGCAGAACCCCAGCACCTCTGCCAAAGACCCTGTCCCTTCCTTGCCCACCTGGCCACCAGTCCCTGCCCAAGGCTAGCAGTTCTCCCATGTGCAGAACAAGGCAGCTCCAACTCTCGCCCTCTGGTCCCACAGGCCTCAGCACCCATTCCCCTCTGGAGCAGATGGAGCAACCAGCTCGATGCTTGATCCTGGCCACTCACAACGGCACCACAACAGCTGAGCAAATCCGGCACCGTTGCATCCCACAAAGCAGCCAGGCAGCGGCACTGCAGCCCCTGTCTTCTCCCCCAGCCGGGCAGCTCCACCACCCCAGCGGGACCACCTGATCCCTTGGAGAAGATGATGCCTTCCATTGCTTCTAGCACCCACCAGGCAGGCTGACATGTCACAGGCTGTTCCCAAGTCCTGGCAATCTGTGCATGGGAAATAGCAAAGGTGGAGAGGTGAAGGGTCACTGTAATGTTTTATGCACGCCTTAACCAATCTACATCTTTATTCCAACCCACCACCGTCTTCCTCTACCTGATCCCTTGGAGAAGATGATGCCTTCCATTGCTTCTAGCACCCACCAGGCAGGCTGACATGTCACAGGCTGTTCCCAAGTCCTGGCAATCTGTGCATGGGAAATAGCAAAGGTGGAGAGGTGAAGGGTCACTGTAATGTTTTATGCACGCCTTAACCAATCTACATCTTTATTCCAACCCACCACCGTCTTCCTCTTATGTTTCCCAGAGTCCTGCCCACTCTTGAGTCCCTTTTTTCGCTAAAGTCGCTTCCACAGGTGTCTTGAGTTAGCCCCAGGTATAATGGGAAAGGGGGGTCCGAGCCCACCCTGGCCTGCCCTCACTCACGGACCCCAGCCCAGGGCCCTAAGGATGCAGAGCCACTAGGGTCTGGTCCAGCTGATGGGGCTTTCCGCCATAACACGCCAGCCCACTGGCCACAGAGAGCCCTCCCCTGGGCTGCTTCCTTCCCTCCTTTACCTAAACCAGTGTTTCCCCGGCATCCCGGCCGCTCGCCACGTCCCCGCATGGACCTGCCAGTTGGCTGACTCCCCACGCCATTCCTCCCCCTCTGGAGACACCGCGGGTCCTTTTTAACCTTTGGTGCTGGTGTGTTATGTCACATCCCCTTCTGGAGATGCCAGGAGCCCTTTTTAAATTTTGGTGCCAGGGTGTTACGTGACACCCCTTTCTGGAGACACCAGGAGCCCTTTTTAAACTTTAGCACCAGGGTTACGTCCACCCCACCGCCCTCCTCTGGCTCCTCTCCTTTCCCTCCATATTGCCTCAGAGCACGCCGCACAAGCATTTTTAAGGCCGCTTTGCACCCCACCCCCAGCCCGCACCGGGATGTAGGAGGAGCGCGGGCACTGCGACGCCGGCTCCTTCTCGCCCGCCCCATGCCCCATATAGGACCGTGGCGGGTGGCTGTCTAGTGCGGGGCAGCCATGCCCCGTCACAGTCACATTAACTCACAGCCACATTCTTAGCACAAACAGGCCCGTCGGTGGCTGGGAATTACAATGCTCCCTAAAACTGCAGAGATAGAAAAAAAATCAGCAAATGGGAGGGACTTGCAGGGCTGCTGATTGAATTCCTGAGTCCCTGGATGAGGCAGGGGGCTGGCTTCATGTCCTGGAAAACTGGAGGTTCCAGACAGAAGGGGCAGGCCAGAGAGCTAGCTCCCCCAGACTGACTTCAGAGCTGCCTGGTCCACACCCTCTGGGCTTTCAGCTGCCACCACAAGCCCTGGGTGAATTTCAGTTGCCAGGCTCTGAAGCAGCTGCCTCTATAGTTCCCTGCACCTGCACCCATCAGTGGCCTGGAGTACTTGGGTTTTCCCCATCTTTTCTTTGGCAGAACTGGGTGAAGTGGTTATGACTGGGCACCAGAGGGCGATATCTCCCTGCATTTGCACTAGGACTTGTCTGCACAGGAATCAAGCACCTGAGGCACATTTACCTTCACCTGTGTGTGCACCAGACTGTGGGGTTCAAACAGCTGCATCCTTTCCAGTGCCTCGTGCAAGCACGTTGGCTGGGTCGGGGTGAGATGGAGCATTGAAGGAACCCACTGCACTGAGTTAGACTGTAGATTTATAAATAACTGCTCTGGGGTACTTGCTGCATGATGAAGATTTTTTTAACACACTCACAGTTAATGTACAACAAAATACAGGACTATGTAGCACTTTAAAGACCAACAAGGTGGTTTATTAGATGATGAGCTTTCGTGGGCCAGACCCACTTCCTCAGATCAAATTGTGGAAGAAAATTGGCACAACCATATATACCAAAGGATACAATAAAAAAAATGAACACATATGAAAAGGACAAATCAAATTTCAGAACTGAAGGAGGATGGGGTGGAGGGGGGAGGGGAGGTAAATGTCTATGAGCTAATGATATTAGAGGTGATACTTGGGGAAGCTATCTTTGTAATGGGTAAGATAATTGATGTCTTTGTTTAAACTTCTCCTAATAAACCATCTTTTTAGTCTTTAAAGTGCTACATAGTCCTGTTTTTTGTTTCAGCTACACCAGACTAACACGGCTACATTTCTATCACTATTCTATATCATCAGCCTCTACAAAATAACAATACTGCACTGAGATGTATCAGTCTGTCGATGTAACAGAAGCTGCACCACTAACTGAGAGGAGCCCATCTTGTGACTCCAAGTAGCATCACCACTGGAGTTAGTTAAAGGGCCTTGAGAAACGAACTCCCCTGTCACCCAGAGCTAGACCAGGACAGTCTCACTGCTGAAGAGCAAATTAAGCTGGTGATGCTCAGCTGGCAAATGGGGTGTAAATGTTGCCCCTGCTGAGATGGCTGGAGGACTCTGAAGCAAGAGCTTTACTCCTGGCCAGTAAGTGGGAGACAGGTGGAACATGTCTCAGAGACAGGCTAGGTCTGATACATTGCACCATGTGGAAGGCCCCCAAGAACAGCTGTGACATAGACCATTGTTCTCCCAGATGGCAGCTTGCAGAACTGAGCTCTGAGGAAACTGAACCATTCAGGGATTTTTCATTCCTAAGTTTTAGCAAATAAAATTTCTCCCCCACCCATGAGAAGCTATGGTCACTGTCCAGTGCTGATCAAGGGCTGGGAAACAAGGCATCCACTCATATGGCAATTTAAAGAAGAAATACTAACCTGCCTTGATATAGATGTAATACAAACCTAAGCAAATTAGCAAGAGCTCTCATCTCTGTCAGTCATTTCATCTGGGCTCTGTTAGCTCCATCTGGTTTGTGGAATAAAAATTATGAGCCCAAAACACAAAAGGCTGAAAAGAGCACAGGACTCAAAGGGACGTAACAGCCAGTAACAGCCGGCAGGAACCACTGTGAGTTAAAAATACCCTCAGCTCAGGAGGTGTGAGGGGTGGGGAGGCAGAGAATGCGAAAGGCAACCCCGGGTCTGCAGAAAACTCTACAGCAGAAGCCAGTGAGCAGCGAGCAGATTTGCATGAAGGGGCCATTCCCCAGCGCTGGGGGTTTAAGAGAGAATTGGAGGGTCCCAGCACAGACCCACTTGCCTCAGGAAGCCGAGCTCGTCTGACTTCCCATCATGGCCCGGGCCCCCCTGCTCCTCGCCCTGCTCACTTACTGCTCAGGTGAGGGGTTGCTGGCTGCACTGACACAACATGGAGGCCACCTGCAGGTGAGGAGGTTTGTGTGTGAGGAGCCGGAGTCCTTGTGCTGAGTTTGTTTGTTCCGTTGCTTTCAGGGGTCAGGTCACAGCCTGTGGTGACTCAGGAGCCCTCCATGTCGGTGACCCCAGGAGGGGCCGTCACGCTGTCCTGCAGCCTGAGCACTGGAGCCATCACCAGCAACAACTACCCCACCTGGTTCCAGCAGAAACCTGGCTCTGTTCCTCGGACAGTGATATACAACACCAATAGCAGACCCTCCGGGATCCCTGCCCGGTTCTCTGGGGCCATATCCAGTAACGACGCTGCCCTGACCATCACCGGTGTGCAGGCAGAGGACGAGGCTGACTATTACTGTTTTGTAGCAACTGGTGGTGCTCATCACAGTGATACAGCCAAATGGGGAACTGAAATAAAAACGTCTCCTGTCTTCACCCCTCATCCTTGGCACTACGCTGGCTGCACACTTTGGATCCTCTCTATGACCGATGAGACCCTGATTCCTCCTCATTAGTTATTTCAGCCTTTAGCTGTAAGCAGGGAGCACTGTTCCACTGCTTCCTCAGGGGAATGAAGTCATCCAATTTTTCATCCAGGGGTGGGCAAAAGGGCCTCCATGGGCTGGGTCCATCCCACCAAGTAGGTTGATCTGGCCTGTGAAGGCCCTGCTGCTCCCATGACCACAGGCCAATTAGAGTCTGTGGGTGGAGGGAAGTGCATAAAGTTTCTTCTGTCCTGCCAGGACATGCAGGCTTAGATGCTCTGTGGCCACAGCTCGAATTCACAGCTGCCTGGCCCACACCCTCTGGGCCTTCAGCTGCCACTACTAGGCCTGGGTGAATTTAAATTGCCAGGCCCTGGAGCAGCTGCCTCTTTCATTCACTGCACCTGCGCCCACCAGTGGCCTGGAGTACTTGGGTTTTCCCCATCTTCTCCTTGGCAGCTGGGTGAGGTGGTTATGGCTGGGCACCAGAGGGCGATATCTCCCTGCATTTGCACTAGGACTTGTCTGCACAGGAATCAAGCACCTGAGGCACATTTACCTTCACCTGTGTGTGCACCAGACTGTGGGGTTCAAACAGCTGCATCCTTTCCAGTGCCTCGTGCAAGCACGTTGGCTGGGTCGGGGTGAGATGGAGCATTGAAGGAACCCACTGCACTGAGTTAGACTGTAGATTTATAAATAACTGCTCTGGGGTACTTGCTGCATGATGAAGATTTTTTTAACACACTCACAGTTAATGTACAACAAAAAACAGGACTATGTAGCACTTTAAAGACCAACAAGGTGGTTTATTAGATGATGAGCTTTCGTGGGCCAGACCCACTTCCTCAGATCAAATTGTGGAAGAAAATTGGCACAACCATATATACCAAAGGATACAATAAAAAAAATGAACACATATGAAAAGGACAAATCAAATTTCAGAACTGAAGGAGGATGGGGTGGAGGGGGGAGGGGAGGTAAATGTCTATGAGCTAATGATATTAGAGGTGATACTTGGGGAAGCTATCTTTGTAATGGGTAAGATAATTGATGTCTTTGTTTAAACTTCTCCTAATAAACCATCTTTTTAGTCTTTAAAGTGCTACATAGTCCTGTTTTTTGTTTCAGCTACACCAGACTAACACGGCTACATTTCTATCACTATTCTATATCATCAGCCTCTACAAAATAACAATACTGCACTGAGATGTATCAGTCTGTCGATGTAACAGAAGCTGCACCACTAACTGAGAGGAGCCCATCTTGTGACTCCAAGTAGCATCACCACTGGAGTTAGTTAAAGGGCCTTGAGAAACGAACTCCCCTGTCACCCAGAGCTAGACCAGGACAGTCTCACTGCTGAAGAGCAAATTAAGCTGGTGATGCTCAGCTGGCAAATGGGGTGTAAATGTTGCCCCTGCTGAGATGGCTGGAGGACTCTGAAGCAAGAGCTTTACTCCTGGCCAGTAAGTGGGAGACAGGTGGAACATGTCTCAGAGACAGGCTAGGTCTGATACATTGCACCATGTGGAAGGCCCCCAAGAACAGCTGTGACATAGACCATTGTTCTCCCAGATGGCAGCTTGCAGAACTGAGCTCTGAGGAAACTGAACCATTCAGGGATTTTTCATTCCTAAGTTTTAGCAAATAAAATTTCTCCCCCACCCATGAGAAGCTATGGTCACTGTCCAGTGCTGATCAAGGGCTGGGAAACAAGGCATCCACTCATATGGCAATTTAAAGAAGAAATACTAACCTGCCTTGATATAGATGTAATACAAACCTAAGCAAATTAGCAAGAGCTCTCATCTCTGTCAGTCATTTCATCTGGGCTCTGTTAGCTCCATCTGGTTTGTGGAATAAAAATTATGAGCCCAAAACACAAAAGGCTGAAAAGAGCACAGGACTCAAAGGGACGTAACAGCCAGTAACAGCCGGCAGGAACCACTGTGAGTTAAAAATACCCTCAGCTCAGGAGGTGTGAGGGGTGGGGAGGCAGAGAATGCGAAAGGCAACCCCGGGTCTGCAGAAAACTCTACAGCAGAAGCCAGTGAGCAGCGAGCAGATTTGCATGAAGGGGCCATTCCCCAGCGCTGGGGGTTTAAGAGAGAATTGGAGGGTCCCAGCACAGACCCACTTGCCTCAGGAAGCCGAGCTCGTCTGACTTCCCATCATGGCCCGGGCCCCCCTGCTCCTCGCCCTGCTCACTTACTGCTCAGGTGAGGGGTTGCTGGCTGCACTGACACGCCACAGACACATTTACCTCAGGAAACCGAGCTCGTCTGGATCCACCATGGCCCGGGCCCCCCTGCTCCTCGCCCTGCTCACTTACTGCTCAGGTGCGGGGTTGTTGGCTGCACTGACACAACATGGAGGCCACCTGCAGGTGAGGAGGTTTGTGTGTGAGGAGCCGGAGTCCTTGTGCTGAGTTTGTTTGTTCCGTTGCTTTCAGGGGTCAGGTCACAGCCTGTGGTGACTCAGGAGCCCTCCATGTCGGTGACCCCAGGAGGGGCCGTCACGCTGTCCTGCAGCCTGAGCACTGGAGCCATCACCAGCAGCAACTATCCAGCTTGGTACCAGCAGAAACCCGGCTCAGCTCCTCAGCTGCTTATATATAACACCAATAACAGACCCTCCGGGATCCCTGACCGGTTCTCTGGGGCCATATCCGGTAACAAGGCTGCCCTGACCATCACTGGTGTGCAGGCAGCGGACGAGGCTGACTATTACTGTTCTGTATGGGCTAGTAGTGCTCATCACAGTGATCCAGCCAAATAGGGAACTGAGACAAAAACCTCCCGTCTTCATCCCCCACAGTCTTGGCACTACACCGGCTGTACAGTTTGGTCCCTCTCTGTTCCTGATTGCTCTTCCTTAGGCATTTCAGCCTCTTGCTCTGAGCAGGGAGCGCTGTTCCACCACTCCCTCAGGGGAATGATGTCAGCCAAGTTTTTGGTCCCACTCAGGGTTCCTCTATACTGTAGCGTTTTTCCAGAATAATAGCCATTATTTTAAAAAAACAATACTTGTGTCCACACAGCAATTGCATTCTTTTGAGAAAAAGTCAAAAGAACTGAGGGTTTTTCCCAACAACGCTAAAGCACTTTCTACAAGGAATAACTCCTTTTCCGTAAAATCTTTTGTGTGGAAGTAGAAGAGGGAGTTCTATCCAAAAAAGAGCCCTCCAGGAAACAACACAGGTGCTCTGCTGGCCACTCCATCCACACTCATCACAACTCTATAGTTCCTTTCTCCTGGCAGCTCTTAAAGTTGCAGAAACCAGGGAGAAGGCTTGGTGCAGGAAGCTGGCAATGGAAGCTACATCTCACAGTGCAGCTCACACTGCCATACTACTCGGCACCCATGTCCCAGCCTCAAGCCCCACAAAAGCCCACTACCCATCCCAGGGAGCATGCACAGGGTTCCCAGGAGTCTGCCAGAGGCACAAAAAGATAAGCACCATCCTGGTCTGGAGCAGAGATGCTGGCCCTCTTGGAGGTCTGAAGTGAATGAAAGACCCTCCAGGATCTCCACTCCAGACAAAGGAATGCCAACATCTATGGCTGAATGGACAAGGCCTTGGCCACACGGCCACCATCCCAGGTGTCTGGAGCAGGTGAAGGGCAATGTCAAGGAGCTCCAGCAGGGTTTCACCTGGTCCAGAGAGAACAGCTCTTGCTCCGGTGCAAAATGACACTTTAATGAGCTCCACTGCATCCTGGAGGATTGAGCTGCCCGTTCCTCATCCCAGTTGTGGACTCGGGGCTGAAGACACCCATTGGCCCAGGGTTCCTGGCCAACAATGAGGAGGAGGACGACAACGACCAGCTGGAGGAGGAGGAAGAGAGAGCCAGCACCCTCACCATCAGCCTGGAGCTGGTAACCCAGGGCCTGGATGTCTCCCAGGCATCCTTCAAGGCTGGGGAGGGATCATCAAGTGAGCGCTCTTAGTTTTTCACACACACAAGTTGGGGAAGGCAGATGCTGAGGGGCTGTGGTACGATCTTTGCTTGGCCTTCTCAGCATGGCCCTTGCACTGCAGTCTGTACGTGTGGGTGCACATTGTGGATGCTGCACGTGCAGTGCCAGTCTGCGCCATGCAGTCCCAGGAGGCAGCCCCAGAGCACCCCCAGGCTCCTGCTCACGGGCTCTGAGAAAGCAACGCACGTGTCTGACCCCCGAGGAGGGGGCTGCCACACACATCTTACCCTCGGAGAGGGACGCTCTCCCACCACCATCCATCCCTGGAAGGAGGCTGGGAACCAGGGTGCACACCTGGCCACACATGGCCCTCTCCATCTGCAGAAGGAGACAAACAAACACACTAATCAGAGAATCAAAGGGCCCTTGGGAGGTCCCCGAGCCCTCCCTCCTGCCCTCCACAAACAGCCCAAAAGCCACCCCCTAGAAAGCCCTCCCCCGCATGGCAGGGCTGTGTGAGGTCAGCACTGTAGAACTTGTACGAGGAGAGCTCTGACGGTTGACATTCCCATGTCAAACTGGTTGCCCATGGACTGGTAAGTGTCCGGCATGGAGAGTTTCCACGTGGTGATGGTGACCAGCTTCTCCAGGGGGATGGCGGGTCTCATCTGAGTGTCCCTTTGTCGGAGGGAAGGGGCGAGCCAGGCACACAGCTCCAAGACTGTCTTCTTCCTCGTATGGATGTTTTGGAGCCACTTCTGGTCATTCCACTGCTCCATCACCAGCCAGTCCCACCTGTCGGAACTAGTGTCCAGCCTCCAGAAGCGTCGCTCCACCACGGGGTACGGTTACAAGGGCTTTGCTCCTGCACACAGGCAGGAGGTCTCCATGATGAGCTCAGAGTCGAGCTCCTACAGGATCATGGAGGCAGCCTGCACAAAATGAAGCAGAAACTGCAGCCTGGCAGTGTGGGGCCATCGTATGCCCAGAAGCACTTTCAGCTCAATGGCAAAGAGTACTGTGGTGTCCAAAGGCAGGGCAACCAGAACATTCAGAGGAAATTCTTTGCTGTCTCTTGGAAAGCTAGGCAAGCAAGCAGAAGAACC